AAATAATTTAACTGTAGGGCAAGATGCAAAGCACAACTATAGTTAAATGAAATATGGATCTGGCCCAATTAAGAATTTTATTTAAAAGAATCCACCGAACCAAGAGTTGTAATAACGATTGCAATTGGAATGAATTCCTACCTAAATAATTTAACTGTAGGGCAAGATGCAAAGCACAACTATAGTTAAATAAAATATGGATCTTGGCCCGCTAGGGTATTCTTCAAATAGAAACCCCAAGTCAATAGGTTCCGTACCTGAGGGTAGTTGACTTGTTAGAAATAGTGGGAGAGTATTTAATAAAGACCTATTACATACTTAATTCATGATAATAACTATCTTCGCAAAATTCTGTAGATGGCAAACAACAACACAAACAACCTAGCCCTGCGTTCCATTCTGGATAAAGATAAATTGAACGGAACAAACTTTGTTGACTGGCAACGCAATCTCTGCATTGTTCTCCGCATGGATGAGAAAGAGTATGTGCTCGAAAAGCCCATTCCTCATGCCCCTCCCGCTAACGCCCCGAAAGCGGTCAAAGATGCCTACGAGAAACACGTTAACGATGACAACCAGGTTAGCTGTGTCATGCTGGCTACCATGATACCCGAGCTGCAAAAAAAGCACGAGGACATGAAGGCCCACGAGATGATCGTGGCCTTGCGGCAGCTATACCAGGGGCAATCTAGGCATGAACGTTTTCTCGTGAGTAAGGCTCTCTTTAGTTGCAAGCTATCTTCAGGGAACCCGGTCGGTCCGCACGTTCTCAAAATGATTGGTTACATAACCAATCTGGGGAAACTCGGGTTCTCCTTGCAGAAGGAGTTGGCAACGGACCTGATCCTGCAGTTGCTCCCTGAGCTGTATAAGGGTTTTTGTCATGAACTACATGATTCATGATCTTAACAAACCCCTTCCGGAGCTTCTTAAAATGCTCCAGACTGCAGAGGAGAACCTTACTAAAGGCAAGGGTGCTTCCGTCCTTATGGTCCAGGGCGGAAAGGGGAAGCCGAAGAAGGGGATTAAGATTAAGGCTAGGACGGTCGGAAAGCCTAAATCGAAGTCCACTTCATCTGCAACCCAGAAACCCATAGGAGGAGTTGCAAAGGGCAAATGTCATCACTGTGGTAAGGCAGGCCACTGGAGAAGAAACTGCAAGACATACCTCGCAACCAAGAAGAAGGAAGGTACGA